TGGAGGGGGTCAATTGGGGGGGAAAAAATGGGACACCTGTAATAATTTTCAACAATAAAGATAAATTAAAAAAGAAATAGTCTTGTTCAAATATGAGAAAAAAATATAAGAAAAAAATTTTAAAAATTAAAGATTTTAAAATGCAGACAAGCTAGAACAAAATGTTTTATTATCAAAATAAAGACTTTATATAAAAGCATTACAGATGGTAAGTTCTATTTACATTTACTGATTCAAGGTTCACTTATGCATCAAACACTGAATGGGCACAGCAACAGGCTGCACATGCAAAGTAAAATGGACACTTAGATTTCACCTTTACCAAAGGACTGATTAATGTAAAAATGGGGGAGGGGAAGACAACATCAAAGCTGCCCAGAAACTGAACTGGCAGAGATGTCAAGGTAACAAACTGCAAAGCCATCCACCTCCAAAAAGGCACTTCTCATTGTTCTAAAAGTGCTTAAAACCTGAACACGAACCTTGTGCCTAGCTTATTTCAAGAAAACAAAAACTGAAAATCATAGGCTAATATCAGTATCGATTTTCCATGCAAAATTATCAAGAATTTGAAATAACCTTACATTTGTGAACTGAAATAAACCTGGCAAACTACCATTATACTTAAGGAGTTTTATATAATAAACTCAAACCAGCCTATTTCTGAAGCCTCCCTCATCTTAATTTTCTAGGATGTCTTTTCTACAATGACTGCAAATATAGCACTGCCCACAAACCCTTCGGTTGTGACAGTGAGCCTGATGCACCACCCAGATTCACAGGGGAGAATATCAGCAACTAAATCTCAGCGGTGACAACTTATATAATAAGCACAATACATGGAATATTCTCATTAGAGGAGTCCAAAGTAACATACCCCACTTCCCAACAATTACCTCATTCCTCCACATGGTTTTACAACTTTTGTGCCTTGATTCTGTTAAAAATGTCAACTAGTGTGACAATCATACCCATTGATTTTGTGTAAACAAGTTAGAGGGCTGGTCTCAATAGATATAGTCAATTAACACCACTACTGTGTTTCTAAGTGCTTGATTTTATAGGTGGATTCCAGGGCTATTTCAACACCAATTAAATCAAACATGCTTTCAGAAAACTGTCATTTTAAAAGAATTCAGAAACTAGATGGTGAGGGAGACCCACCGTAAATAGAGGGGGATGGTGTGGGGTGAGGGGCAGGGAAAAGCAAACAAATGGCAAGAGGGCAAAGCACAGCTACCGATATGCCTCTGCAACGCTTGGAAACATGTCTAATGAGAGTAACTTGATTTGTGTTTCCTATAAAACAAACTGATCATCAGAATTCTTAACTTGGGGTTCAACCACATGACAAAATGGAAAATTTTAACAAGGAAGACTGGTGCAGTGGAAGGCAGGCAGTGGATCTTCCAAATATTATTCTTGCATCTCAAACTCATGCTTCAGGCTGAAAAAAGAAAAGGGAACATGTCAGGGTATTGTTTTCAAACTAAGCATTCTCTCTTGAAAGCCTAATTCACTCTTAGAAATATTTTTACTGAGTTATAACATATATGTTTTAACATGTTAAATGTCAAACTTGAATTTTAACACACACACACACACACACACACACAAAGGTCACCATCACCCAGATGAAGATGTAAAATGTTTTAAACATTCTTAGAGACTCTCAATGTACCCCTTTCCAGTCAACACCTGCAACCCCTGCCCCCCACCCGCCCCGAGATAACCACTACTCTGACTTCTACCATCCTTTTAACAACACACATAAATGAATGTAAAATTTGGGTGTTGAAGAGAGAAAAACCAACCATTACCTTTTCAAGTAAGCGTGCACATTCCCAAAGCCGTGGTATTTAGCTAAGTACACAAGGACCCCAGTCGCACACCGCCCATCTCGCTGACGACAGAAACTACAATTGCAGATTCTTCGACAAGGTGGGCAATGCCAGTTCTGAAGAATTGTGAAAAGGCACAGTTAAATCAAACCTACTCCCTCTCTCCCCTATACTTATCTACTCCTAGTTAACCTCTAAGGTGGGGTATCATCAATTGCTTTTAAATTTTTTATTTTTAAAAATCTTAACATGGTTAATATCCATCAGTCATACCTAATGTTCCCTTAGGAAATCCAGCACAGAAAGTCATACAGTGATTACTAGGGGTGAATGGAGATCAAATTCCCCTGAACAGTCACAGGCACCAGGCACTTGAAGGAGCTCACACCTACCCAGCACCAACACTATGAATTCACCTGCCTTTCCTGAAATGAAAGCCCTACAACAGTAAGGGCTCAGCCCTTTCACCAGTGCCATCTTTCTGGCGCAACCAGCTGGTGTCTGACCTTCAAAGCCCACAGGCCACCCCTTCCAGGCACCTACAGGATCCAACAGGGCATCCTTGACCTCTTCGCCGTAACGGTTTCGAAGGCAGGGGCCGCAGAACTGGCCTCGAACACCCCAGCACTCTGGGTTTCTGCAGTTTGTTTTGGTATCAATGGTTTTCTGGCGGCACTGATGACAAGTAGACCCCTACAAATAAAGAGCAAGTTAGAAAATAAACAAAACACCACTGCCTTTTGTAGAGAAAAATGGCATATTTAAAGACTGTCCTTCCTTAGGGGTACAGTCTGCCATTTTCAATCTGATTTCATTCAATTGGCAGATTCAATATTATCAAAACTTTTCTTCAAGTAACGGTCTTATCATGCAAAAAACCTTGCCAAGAGTCTCTTTCTCTCTTTAGCACACCACCTTATGCCCAGCACCCATCTACATAGACACACATAATAGACACACAGTAAATATATGCTGGATGAACCAATTTCTAAATTAAGAGAAAAGATCTAATGTTACTGAAGACTTAAAAAGAGGGCTAGATCCCAAGGATGCTACAAAACTCTTTTCTTATATGAAAAACACACACAGGCACACATCCCATATGCTAAGATGTTCAGAACATCAGCAAAACTCTAAGGAGAGAAGCTATCCTTCCTCCCTCACAGATGTTTACACTTTCAGACATAAGGCAGAGGTTTTTACCAATGAACGGCTATATATCTTCTCTCGAGAATTGTTGCAGATGTTCTCCAATTCATCCTCTGTAATTTCGTCCACCGGGCGAATTACATGAGGAAGGGTCATGGATCCTGGGCGACGACCTCTGCGCATGTCATCTTCCTGCGTAACAAGCATGGAACAGTGTTCTTACTGGCTCTGCCCAGCTCTGAATCTCAGATACTTGATTTATAATTTCTTCATAGAGAATTCAACCTGGAAATCTTTCTTAAGGCTTATGGAGAGGAGACAAGTCCTAAGTTCCCAGGACACCATTATGGAAATGATTCCTACAACTAAAAAAAGCTGATGAAGAAGAAAACTTTGACTCCCTCGCCTGTTAACAAAAATCATCATATATTCCAGACATTCACAACTTGGAGTTATAAGAGAATCCATATATATGAGGGAAAACTTAAAAATGTTAGTGAATGTGGTAAAACCTTTAGACAGAGTTCCAATCTTACTCAACTTAAGAAAATCCATGCTGGAGAGAAACTTTACAAATGTAGTGTATGTGTCAAAGCTTTTACCCGATTTGCAAGCCTTACTAAGCATCATAAAATACATAATGAACAGAAAACATTAGAAACCTAACTTATGTGGCAATACTTTTATTAAAAGCTCAGGCTTTGGGGATCATCAAAGAATTCAAGTAGAAAGACACCTTAAACATATGATTGAGATAAAACTCATGTAGGTGTTCATCTTACTCAATGTCAGAGACTCCAACATGGAGAGAAACCATGTAAAACTCATGTATGTGGCAAAGCCTATAACCAGGGCTCACACCTCACTTGATATCAGAATATACATCTTTGAGAGAAAGCACACAAATGTATGGCAAAGCTTATCCAGAGTTTAAGCCTCGTGGGACATAGAATTCTTACTAAGGAGAAACCTTATAAAGGTATTGAGTGTGACCAGCTTTATAAAAAATGTCCAACTTTGTGGTCGTGACAGAATTCATATAAGATGGAAACCATACAAATGTGTCAAGACCTTTAGCAATGACCTGTATACATCAAACAATTCCTACTGGACAGAAACATTACAAATGTAATGATGATGATAAGTTTAATCAATTCTCTCAATGAACAACACGAGAAAATTCATGCTAGGCGGCACTAAGCCTATTACTTTTGATGATTAACCAAGAGCAGATGTTAAATTCTAAGAGAATTAAAAGTTAAAATTATTTAAAACTCATGAGAATGCTGTATGTTAATGGAGCAAGAAAATCTGTGGAAAGGTCTAATTATCTTCAGTTTATAGAATGTTTTTATTCAATTATTTGAGGTTTTGCGAAAAGGCTACATTGTTATTGATGACTTAAAAACATCATCAACTAAGTCAGTATGGCATGAACAATCCTGAATGGTTTGAGAAGAACATTTAATGTGAATCATTTGGTGCAGGGCCTACAGAAGATGAAAAACAGAAGAGCAAGCACAAATGTGGACTCACGTTCATGTAGCCGTCCATGGTCTTCCTCTTCCTCACCAACATGTACTTATCCTCCCCCTCCTCCTCCTCCTCCTCTTCCTCTGGGGCCAGAGCCCCAAGTGACCCAAGGATACGGGACCTTGACCTGGTAAGAGGACGGGCTCTCCGATCGGGGTTTCTCCTAGAAGTAACTCCTGGGAATGTACGCCTTCGGGGTGTCTTTGATTGCTAAACAAAACACATATGACGGAATCCATTTATTCTAGAATAAAGAGAAATGGCACCTTCTCCTATGTATGTTTTTGTTTAAGTAAAAGGAGAACTCCATTTTCTAAGTTTCTTTGTCCTTTCTGTAATGCATGGAAAATGAGCCCCCAAAAAATGATACAGCCATTAAAATTTTGCTTTTGTAATACTGAGCCCAGTTCCTCTGAAACGGAGAAATACTGTACTTATTCATCTACACAATAAAGATGTAAGAACAAATCTCGTTTTCCAAAACCACCTTTTTAGGACATCTCTTGAGCCCTGACACATACTCACTGTTTCTACATTGCACAAGAGAGAATGTATATATGGTTCTCCTTCTTCCAAGTCTTCCTTTTATACCACAGCAGACACATCAAATCCCCCTGAGTTGCACCAGCTTAGTTCCTCAGAATATAATCACATACATCAGGCCATGACTTGGTTAAGAGGTCTTTTCCTTCTCAGATTTTAAAAAACAGATTACTATGCATCTACCACGAAAGAGAAATATGCTAATACTGGAAACAAAACAATACTTTCCAATCTTTATTCCTTGTCCTTGAGGGGTTTAGCTTAATTGGAAAAAAGACAGATAACCAATGAAAAGCGGTTTGAGCACTGCACAGGCTTGGCCCAGGGCGGCCGCGCCTTCCCCAGGACACCAGAGCTCCCAGGGATCAATTAGGTTTCCTGTTTCCTCCTTCTGAAAAAACCACACAACGAAAGGAGACTGGATTTTCAAATATCCTAACAGATCTATCTTAGCCCTACCCGAAAGACTACTGAACAAACAAGAATTTGCACTTACTGAACTGGGACCTCGGAGGGAATGCCGTCTAGGGAATGAGCCAGGGAAACTTTCTAATTCCGACATAAGTTTTGCAAGCTAAAAAGGAAGTGAAGCCAAAATTATTGGTTTAGAATAACTGCTGAAAATGAGCAAGTTCTGGAAATTAATGTAATACATCTCAGAGAGTTTCCAATTTCTCCTACACACTTACCAAGGCGTTAACAGATTTTTAAAAAAAGAAAAGTTAATCAGTCTAGGGTAAGAAACACATTTTAAAGCACATACTGTAGACGTCGTAACTACACTGAAAACAATTCTTGACACAGATAAGAAAGAAGTGGCTTGGAGAAAAGCTGGAAGAGTTAATTCTAACACATTCCAAGTGAGATACCTACCATTGCTTTGTTTTGCTTTATATTTAAAGCCCTTTTCTCCAAAAAATTCATGCCATTTTCATCTTCTGAATCAGGATTGGAATCAGTCACAGATTTCTCCAGGGGTTCAGGAGCTGCTGCTCTTTTGCTGGCTGCTCCCCTGGTATTTCGAGCTGGAAAATTCATGGCCACCCGGAGAGGTCCGGAACGTCTGCACTGACTGCGGGTCCTACAGCCTGCATGGTCTGACTGTAATCTCTAGTCAATCAGAACAATTGAGTCATTAATGACTTGTTGTTTGTTGAACAGGCTGCACCAGCATGACTGACTACAAAATTCCTTTTGAACAAAAGACACTTGCATCAAATAATAATCGACCACTTTAATTGTAAATTTTAATCGACAGCTCTGGGTAACAAAATCAGGAATTATAAATAAACACAACAATCTGAGTGTAGTTTAACTCCGCTAGCCTATCTGGAATACATTATTATAAGCCATCTTCACAGCCCCGAGGCTAGTGGTTCTGGGCCGTTTTTTTTTAAATGTGAAAATCCCAACTCTCTTTTAATTTAAAAACAGGCCTTTGTGTATTTTTAAAGAATTTCTACAGGAACAAATATATGTTCTCCCACAAACATGGTTGCAATGCTTATGGCAATATTAAACTATATCAAAAACGTCTCAAGGCTTTAAGCTACTTTTTTAAAAAAAATGTGGTAAAATATACATAACATAAAGTTTACCATTTTAACCATGTTAAAGTGTACAGTTCACTGGCATCAAATACATTCACACTGTTGTGCAACCATCACCACCATCATCTCTAGAACTTTTTCATCTTCTCAAACTGAATCTGTTCCTTTAAACAACTGCCATTCCCTGCCCCTGCAGCCCCTAGCAACCACCACTCTGCTTTCTGTCTCTATGACTCTGACTACTCTAGATACCTCTCTAATCTACTTTTTATAAGACTAAAATTTTAACATTTCATACTTTAAAGTAATACAGGTCTCTATCATTAAATATGTATTAAGAGCCCTGCCCGGCGTAGCTCAGCGGTTGAAGCATCAACCTAGGATCCAGGAGATCGCAGTTCAATTCCTGGTCAGGGCACATGCCCGGGTTTCGGGTTCGAACCCCAGTAAGGGGTGTGCAAAGAGGCAGCCGATCAATGACAACTCTCTCATCACTGATGTTTCTATCTCCCTCCCTCCCTTCCTCTCTGAAATCAATAAAGATATATTAAAAAAAAATTTTTTTTAATTCCAGCTCTCAATCCTCTGAAACCCTCCTCAAAAAAAAAAAAAAGTATTACAATTAGCCATTGGGGCCCTAGCTGGTTTGGCTCAGTGATTAGAGCGTTGGCCCTCGGACTGAAGGGTCCCGGGTTCAATTCCGGTAGAGGGCACATACCTCAGCTGCAGACTCGATCCTCAGCACGGTCAAGGCACGTGCAGGAGGCAACCAATTCCATGTTTCTTTTTTGGAGTAATGAAAATATCCTAAAATAGATTGCAGTGATGGCTGAGAAAAAAAATAAACAAAAAAACTAGAAGAAAAAATATCCCCCATAAAGTCCCAGGAAGGAAAGACCCATTTTCAAATTCAAAAATTTCTAAATCCCCACAGCTTTTTTCTCTCCATGTACTTTTAGTGTGACAAATTGAGACTATAAAATGACAAAAAAAGTTTTAGGAGTTCTGAAGACTTTTAATTGATTGGCTTTTTATTGACTGCAACAATCAGCACCTACAAAGAACTGAAACAATACCCAGAAGTGATCTGGGCTATAGACAATGTTTGGGTCACACCCAAATTTTCAGACCAGCCTTTGCAGTAACTCCAACATGCCCTGATTTAAACCAGTATCACTTATTATAGGAATGTTACATTACCATGAAGTTGAACAGTGATAAAAATATTTCCCGGTCAGGCACTTTCACTTATGTCAGCGTCACTCAAGTGTGGTCCCAGGTAGTCAGACCACACTGAGCTGAAGAGCATGCACCTGGCTGCAAATCAACACACTGCTTCCTTTGTCAAGGAAGTCTCGCTAACAAAAAAACATCTGCAGAACAGTATGTTCAGGGAGAGTGGGACTGAGGTGCAGCAGCAGCAGCAGCAGTGGCCTGAGCAGGAGAGGTTAAAAAGGTAAGGCAGTGTGCACAGGAAAAGCAGGACCAACGTGCAAAAGTGGAAGCAGGAAGGGCCCTAACTGTCATTATCTGCACTCAAGCCCCTGCACAAGAGTTATCACAGGTTTTCCAAATGCATGGATCTGCCATGGGAACATTTACCAAAAACCTGGTCTATGCCAGGCACTGGACTGGGCACTTGAACTTACATGCGAATGTAATTAATCTTGAGGACATGTGTGCTTCCTCCAATTAGGCTGGATTTCTGTGGCAATGGAAATCTGGAGGTTGGCCAATTTTATCTTACTAGTTTCCATGATTTTCAGAGCCTACAAAATGTTCAGGCTTTACACGTAGGACTATTTTAGTAAAAACTGCTTTAAGACATAAATACTCTTAAATTTTAAAACGATCGACAAAATTTCTGGCATGACTAAAATGAAAATTACAAGAAAAAAAAGTTTTTTTAAAAGCAAGTATGCCACGCCTCGAAATGTACTTTACTTCTTGATATTGGTGAAATTCTCAAACTCACCATTCCATCTTGTATCTCACTCTCTGAGAAACCGCAAAACGATTCATCGTCAGAGTCGGCGTGAAAAATACTGGCCAGTTCGTTAGTGACATCTGGCCTTGGTTTCTGTAAAAATCCACAATGGTCTAATACATCTTGCACCTCACTTTCTGAAAAGCCGCAGAAAGATTCATTATCAGAGTCCTCATAAAAAACATTTGCCAGTTCTTCACTGATATCTGACCTGAATTTAGGTTTCTGTAAAATAAATAAATAAATGTGGTTGTGCATTTTTTCCCCTTTTTCAAGAACCAATTTTCCATAAACCGTGCAGAGAGCAAATCACATTCACAAGTGCACTACAAGAGAATAGCTTTTGTTACAAAGAAAAATGGTTCAGAGGTTTACAAATGATTTCTGAGTTGTTATGGCAAATCATCAAGCATGTTAGGTTAGGCGACATTTCAAAAGGATAGAATAAGTAGCTAATCTACCTCCAACAATTACTACCTAGAACCACAGCAAAAAGTGAAATGAAATTACAGTGCATACTGTATTTTCATAACGGCTGTATAGAAATGTAGGCAAAAAGCAAGCAGTTTTAATCACGCACAAAGCATTTGGGGCATTTTGAGCACTGCAGATTCAATTCTGTTTATTCTCAGGCAGCACTTACCGTGTTTGCAAAATTATCAGAGGCAAAGCTGTCACAACTGTCATCAGAAGATGACGGGGTTTCCATGGAAATCAACTTCACATAGCTGAATTTCTTTAAGTTCTTCTTTACTCTGCGACCCTTTCGCTGCAGATGGAAATGGCAGTACGATTAAGTGGGATGCTCACTACAGTATCTAACTAAAGACATCATTTTTGAGTTTAGTAGGTTCAAACAGCACAGATATGTCCATTTCTTATACCCTATATAGGAAAAGGGGAATTTGCAATTGCTACAAAAAACTTTTCAAAAATAGGTAAAATCCTAAAAAGGGATCACTCTGAAGAAAAACTATAATGATATTTATCAATTTAATCAAACATCTGTAGAGCTACCTCTACCCACCTGAAGAGTGCCCAAGCTCTTAGCATTATACTGAACTCCCAAGAAATTTAATGCCAAACTCCTAAAATCTGCCCTGTACTTCAAAAGTACAAAACGGTAGTGATTTCTCTCCCTCAGCCAAAATCAAGCTAATCAGGCCGTTTTATGCAAGCTTTGGGCTATGTACTGTGTTGCTAAGTTCCCAAACTACAAAACTGGACAGCACTTCTACTTCAAGATGGCAGGCTTTCAAATAGGCCTTGTTCCAATCAGGGGGATAGTGATTTCCGCACAAATCCTTACAAATCGAATATACCAACCCAGTGAACAAATGTTCCCGAAGCCAAGTTAAAGGTCAAACAGCCCTCCAAACCCAGTTAGAATGCCTGATTCCACTCTGGCATTCTACTATGAGCGTGGCCTTTCAGCTCTTGCATAGTCCCCTTGCTATACAAGTCTTAAGTGTTTAGAAGTTCTTTCATAAGGCACAAATTACTTGTAGATGTAAAAATGCTTCTTTCATTCCTAAACACTTTCCAGCCTGGCACTGCTTATCAGAAAATGCAACTGGCATCTCATGTAAAAAAGATAGTTTCTGGCATTTAAAATTTAATGAGATTTCTTAACGTTTTATTAGTTCATATAGTTTTACTTTCTTAAATAGGGCCATGGAGTAGAAGTGGCTCTTTACACTGAAAACTTTGAAAGGGCAAGCTCTGCTGTGGGTCCCACCAAGTAACACCAAAATGTGAGAGGTCTGGTGAACTAATACTTGACCTTGCTTCTACACCTAACATTACGCATTTCATTGCAGTATCTTGCAAGTAAAATTATTTTCATGATGGTACCTAACCACCCTATGCTCCTAAGTAGATTCCACTTAATCATCTTAGGAAGTTTTTGTCCTTTGTCCTTTTAGAAAGGCAAGAAAATGTGATTAAAGATAGAGCTACTACCTATTAAAAGGGATCTCAGGAAACCTCCCCCTTTTTCCAGATAAGGAAATTCAAGGCTCCAGGGAGATGAAATATATTGTCCAAGAACTCAAGCCTGCCATCTCCTAAAACAGCAGTATTCTTGCATTACTGCAGGAAGTATCACCATTTACTCATCAATCTATCTGCAAGCAGAGGCTCAAGACAGATTCAAGGGAGGCATTCTATTGGAAGCTGTCAGGGAAATATATGCTGGGCTTTTAACAAGTCAATACATGCCAAGAGTTAAGTTACCAGGCAAACGTTATGTTTGGAGGAAAAGACATAGAAGAAACAAGCAAATAGTTATGGTTGAGGTAAACTTCTCTGGCAGGCAGGTAATAACTAACGGCGCTTAGTAGGTGTTTTCTGTGCCAGACACTAAGTATGCTTTCACATTATAATTGATTCCTTGCAACAAAGGCGTATCATTATTCCCACTTAACAAATGGGGAAACTGAGGTTCAGAGAGGTGAAATGGATTATTCAAGTCACACGATGGCCTAAACTTGAACCAGGCATGTGAGATTCCAAGCTCAGCGACACATGGCTTTCTTCATCCTGAAAGCCAAAGCCTAGTTCGAGCGATGTGCCTGAAAGCACGTGCCCAACAAGCTCTCCCCACTTGTGAGCTTTACCCGACATTTATTTTAAGCTTGTCGCTCTCTTCCTTTTCACCCAACCCCCACCTTCTAACCTCTCCTGGGGCAGACCCTACGTTCCGGTTTCCGTTGAGAGCACAAAGTAACGTTCCATTCAGGCAACATCCTGCAGCTTGAGAAACGTTGGGGGCTGGGGAAAGGAATGGGGGAAAAGCGAAAGGCTGCAAACAGTTTGGACCACCAAGTCCTTCAATTGCATGTAACTACCGCCCGGGACTAGGAACACCTCCGCCCACGGGCGCAACCAGTGTTTGCAAGACCTTTAAACTTCAAACCCACCGACCCTGAGCGGTTCGAAGGGGCTGAGGCAAAAGCGGGCGGGGAGCTCGCCAAGGTCCCCCCAGTTGCGCGCGGGTGGAGCCGCCCACCCGCCAGGGGCTAAACGCCGGAAAGGGCTGGGGGCGCAGCAGGGCAAACTCCCAAAGAGCGGGGAGAGCGGCGCCCCCTTCTGCGTTCCAGCGGCCGGATCGGGCC